AAAATTAATATATGTATTGACAGTGTTATATTCATAGAGCTACACCAAGCACCACACAAATCCTAACTGACCCCAAAACACCAGGGCCAGGTAGAGCACAGTACACCACAATGCATTACTGTAGCTTACTGTTAAAGTGCGCTTTCAAAGCCTCCCTGAACCATATAGCTCCATGTTAAGTTCTACTAATAGCCCTTGTGTCTGCCTGCTGATAGTGGGGTGGCGACTGAGCATGCTCAGGAGAAGCCAAGCAGCAAATCTGGGGAGCACATGTCCCCCCCACGCGTCACCTCAGCTCAGGAGCGCCGCCAGCTTTTCTGCCACCCTAGGAGGCAGAAGGTCTCACCCCGAAATGCCGCCCCCCCACAGAGGCGGTGGAAGGTCCCGCCGCCGAAATACCGCTGTGGTCGCCGCCCCACAAATTGTAGCGCCCTAGGCGACCGCCTAGGTTGCCTAATGGGTTGTGCCGGCCCTGCCTCAGCTACAACCCTCCACCTCCATCCTGGTGGCAATTTTTTACCCTTTGCTTCACAGATATTATGCAGGACACAGCAAGCAGCTATAACCATTGGGATGTTTTTTCACTGAGATCCAATCTTATGAGTAAACAATGCCAGCATCCCTTCAATCCATCAAAAGAGCATTCAACTGTCTTTCCACAACTGCTAACCTCGTAGTTGAATCTTTCCTTGGTGCTATCAAGGTGGTTGATATATTACTTCATGAGCAAGGGGTTGGCTGAGTCCCTTAGGATCACTATTGCATTTCAACATTGTCAATGCACCAGTCGAGAAAGAAACTGCTTGTAGCTTTCTGAACAGTCCTGTGTTCTTAAAGATGCAAACATCATGCACCTTTCTTGACCAGCCAACACTGATGTCGGTGAAATGTTCCTAGTGATCCAACACTTGCATAACCATAGAAAAGTAGCCCTTCCTGTTGATGTACTCTGGCAAGATGGCCTGGTGCCAAAATAGGGATGTGCATCTATTGCACCACAACGATTCAGAAACCACATTGCTGCAAATCCATGCGCTATGTCCTGCACGATGCCTAGAGTCACAGACCTGCATAGCAGGAGACGATCAATGGCCCTGAACACTTACATGATAACAGCCCCCACAACGGATTTCTCAACACCAAAATGACTTCCCACTATCCAGTAGCAATCCAGTGTTGCAAGTTCCAACAGTGCGATTGCCACTTGCTTTTCCGCTGTCAGTGCAGCTCTCATTTTGGTGTCACTGCTCATCTGGTTCGGGTTATCTTTCGGCTCTGCAAATACCAGAGGATCCTGTGTCCTGAGCTTGCAATGCTTATGACAATAGTGCAGAGCTGTGCAGGCTCCGTGCTTCTGTCAGGCTGCATGGCATGAGTGGTGGGTCGCATAGGCCGGGGGAGGTGTTGCTTCCCCAAACCGCCAGGTGTGATCCCATCCCCTGCTGTCACGCTCCCTGCATGTGGCTGCAGCGCCAGTCCTCCCGGCTCCAAGTCCAGCCTCCCAGTGCTCTGGGACTGCACGCTGCCCGCCTTTCCATGCTCCGGGACTGGGGCCACGCACCGCCCACCCTCCTGGACTGGGGCAGCGCACCACCCGTGCTCTGGAGCTGGGGAGGCTAGGCCACATGCCGCCCGACTTACTGCCCTCGGGCTGAGGAGGCTGGGGCCACGTGCCTCCCAACATTCCTTTGGGGCTGGGGGGACTAGCCGCAGGACTGGGCTGGTGGCAGAGGTGGAGGGGTGGCTCTGGGCTCCGGTGGAGGGGGGCTTGGCTTGGACAGAGGGGGGCTTGGCTTTGGTGGAAGGGGCAGGGCTGGGAGCTAGCCTCCCCCAGCCAACAGTTCACGTGATGCCCATGCTGCATGCGTGTGTGGGATTTTGAAAAAAAGGTGTGAAAATTATGGGATATAGATGACATTATGCGATGGAGACTGTCATGTTGGGAAGTTGACTCCTTGAGCCCAGGCACCCTGTGTAACTCATTTCTGCCCCACCATGCATTGCCAAAATTTCCCAAAAGACAATGCACTGGATGGTGGTGGGCTGCACACTGAGTTATTTACTCATGGTGCTCCTGGTGAGCATGTCAAGACTGACGCAAGGAGACAAGTATGGACGTGCACAATAGGTATACTAACTGTGGCAGCTTTATGCCAACGTAACTTGCGTCGATCAAAGTTTGTAGTATAGAGATGGTGTAGTGAGGCGGTGTGGCGCCCCTCCGTCCCGCATAGGGCCGAACTTCCCCTAACCCCAACGTGGGCGGAGCCACCAGGTCCAGCGCCTGCCCCTCCGAGGTCACGGCCCCAACCCAGAAGTATGAAAGCCCGCCAGCAGAGCTCAGTGGAGCCCAGGCCGGCAGAGAGAGCAGACATCCCGGGCTGAGCTCCCGCTTGGGAGACAGCCGCAGGCCGCGAGCCACCTGCTACCCCACCGCACCGATCGAGCCTACCTCTCGCCCGCTACCCCGAGGAGGACTGGCCAAGCCTGCCCCGGGCCAGCTACCCTGGTGGAGAGCTGCCGGACCTGCCCCCAAGCCCCGCACCAGAGGAACCGATGCTGCTGGACTGGCCCGAACCCGGCGTCGCCAACGAGGTAGGCCCCGAGGGGGAACACAGAAGTAGCCCGGGGGTAGCCGACCCCGGTCAGGCTGCAGAGACCTGTGAGCCAATGTCAGTGTGTTTCAGTCAGGACACCCCACTGACCAGCAGCAGCAGTAACCGCTGCTAGGGCCCCGGGCTGGGACGCAGTGGAGTGGGTGGGCCTGCGTCCCCCCCCTGCCACCCCCGCTCACGGGTGGCAGGCTTCCCCCTCACCCAACGCTCAGGTAGGAACCTGGGCCTCCTCCAAAGTGGATTGTTGCTCAGCCCCTGCACCAGAGGGCCTGAGCTGTGACTGTTCGTGCCCCGCCCTGATCCAGGGCCTGGTCCTACTTTAAACTGTTGATTATTGCTCAGCCCCTGCACCAAAAGGCCTGAGCTAGCTGATTGTTTGCTCAGCCCTGCCTGAGGGCCTGAGCTCCCTGAACTGGGGGTCGCTCAGCCCCTGCGTAAAGGGGCCTGAGCTTTGACTGTCTGTGCTGTAGTGAGCCGGTGTGGTGCCCCTCCGTCCCGGAGGGTAGAGCCCCGGCGCGAACCTACTACAGATGGCCATAGGTAGATTACCAGTATTGCACAGTGATACCTCTGAAAATAAAATACATTAAATTATGGACTTGCAAAAGTTTAAATATCACACATATTTCACATAATGCTAATGTAAACCTGAATTGTCATTCTATTACCATCATCTGACCAGAAGCTATTGTATATGTAAAGTGTTCAGCATGTTAATTTAGTATAACAGGTTGAAGATCTCGTGCAGTCAGTAGTTTGGCATATCCATTAAGAGTATTGTAACCTTACATGCCGTTCATCATTGGATTATATATTTACATGCTTGTAAGCAATAGTGGATGAACCTTCTTGAACCCAACAACTTTCATAGAGTAACATTTTTTTTTATAAATATCTAAATACCTGATCAGGGCAACAGTGCCACCCAGTGGCCAGAAACTGTTGTTCGTACTTACTAAAGAATATCCTTACCACCATCACGTTCTGGTATATTTCTAAATTGAATATGAACACAGAATTTCAATGAGATCAAAGGTAGAAAATTTTCAGCAAATGAACTTGACTCACTCTTTGATGATTTTTTATTCCCCTAATCTTCTTTTATATTTTCAACTTTCTATCACAACAATCCTTGGCACCTTCACATTATTGACCAAGCAAACTGAGGTCTAATATGCAATTCAACGGCATTTCTCTATTGTGTGTAATGCAATGCAATAACTTTTTAATGCCACATCTGAACAATTCCAAAATGTCAGAGAATAATCTAGTCATCAGTGGCCAGAACTCTATTGATTTTGATGAAAATCAGAAAAAACAAATGGGGGAAACGGAGGACACATGGATCTCCTGATACCTGGTTTGCAGAGCTACCAGCTTCAACCACTTCTGCAAAAATACGACAGGTGGGAAGAAGGGAGAATGGGGAGGCAAGTGGATAGGGAAAAAGGAACACACACAGAGTTCCTGTCTTAGGGGAGGAGATAGGGAGACACAGAGCCCCTGGAATGGGAAGAAGGGGGGCACACAGAACCTCTGTCAGGGGGCAGAATGGGGGACCTAGGTATGGGAGGGAAAGGAAATGGGTGGAAAGGGATCGCACAAAGAGCCCTTGGTATGGGAGAGAAGTACTGAGGTAATGCAGGAATAGGAGGCACAAAGAAACCCTTGCTATGGAAGAATGGGGGAATGGGGAGGCATGGGGGAGAAAGGGGAATGAGAATGCACACATTGCCCCTGGTATGGGGAAAGGGGGGAATTATGGGGCAGTCAGGACCCCTGGGGAATGTGGGCCCTAATATGGAGGGAAAGGGAGAAATGAGGGAAAGCGTGTCAATGGGGGACACAAAATCCATGGCTTGACAGAAAGGCAGTCAGAGGGGGTCCTGAAACCCATAATGGGAGGGTAACACACAGGGAGTTTCTGAAGGGTTGGTAATGGAGGAATGCAAGATGCCCCCAGGTCTGTGCAACACACTCAGCCTATGGCCAAAGTGTGCAACTCCCTAGGATCCATAAACCAAGGGCATCCTAGGGGCTTCTGTACCTTGAACTGGCTGCTGTCCCTCAGGAACCAGAGGGCAGCTGAGATTTGCACAGGAGAGCCAAACTTTCACAGAAGTTGCTCTGGACCAACGCAGGTAACAAACACACACACACGCTGGAATTCGGGTACAGCCTGTGTATCAGTAACGTTCAGCTAACTGTGCAAAGCACGTGGCAGTGACCTCCCCGGCTGCGACACCGCGCGGTACAGCCCCGCGCGGATCAGGGCACGTTGGTGACCGTGCGCCCAGCAGCGCAGCCCGCGCCTGCGCAGTCGTACCGCGGAGGAGGGGGAACTCGCGCCAATGCGTAGTCACGCCCCCCTCACACGCCGGAAGTACGTCTTGCCGGAAAGGGCGGGGTTGCTGCCTGAGCTAGAGAGAGCCGCGTGGCGGGCGGGCGCGCTTTTTCTAGTTGCGGAGGGGCGGCAGTAGCCGCTCGTCGTGGTGGTGGTGGGAGGAGCGGGAGCGAGGTTTCCTGCGCGCCGGAGACTGGGCCCCGTCTCGCTCCCAGCCACGGGGCTACATTCTTCTGGCGCTCTGCTTGGCGCGCGCGCTCCCGCCCGGCCGGGGCCTGTCTTCTCAGAGGAGAACATGGCCCCGGGGGAAGGGGGGCGCCGGTGGCGCGACCAGAGGCGGTGGGCGAGGGGGCCGCCACCGCCTTTCCGGTAACGTGGCTCATTGTGTCCCTGCAGGTGGGGACCGGACCGCAGCGGAGCCGCAGCCGGGGGGAGCGGGATGCAGCAGGTAGGAGCCGTCACTCGGGAGGAGGGAGTGTTGAGTTCTGGGGCCCGCACCGCACCATACACTCGCGTCTCATCCGAGGGGTCGGGAGCGAGTCCGGCCCTGCGGCCCTTGCTCTTGCACCGGCCGCCTCCGCGTTCTCCCGCCAGCAGCAGGTCCGTGTGGCGGCTGGCACCCACCGCGGGCCCTGGGCCTGGTCCCGGCCCCATGTGCGCGTGGGGGTGGGGTCGTCTCGGTGTTGCCGTTAGCGTCAATCCATGAATCCGTGGGACCTGTCTCCTGTGGCAGTCTCCCTTCCTAGCCATGGAAGAGCAGCGTCTTGCTTTTTGGCAAAGCTTTCACTATCTAATTGGTGAAAGTATCTGACTGGAGCAAGTAACACGTGTGTCATGTCCTGCCTCGACAGTAACGTGCCTGACTGCTAGAGCCCAGCAATCCTCACTCTCTTCCTTCTCTGTGCTCTATTCCAGGAACCTTGCAGACCCAGAGCAGCCAGCAGTTGCCAGGTATGTGCTTTGCTTTAAATCTGGGCTCCAGGGGATGAGATGAAGTCTTGTAAGTATTTTTAAAAAAAAACCTGCTTGGTCGGGGGTTAAGACTGAAATTGATTTGCCCTGTGTTGTGGCTGGTATTAAAACAACTAGGTTAGACTTGACTGTTCCACAGTGTGGTGGTTTGGACTGTGTATCCTAGTCAAGTACAGGCTGAAACAAAAATCCCCAAACCAAGATAAAATAAGTAATTTGGGATAGAAGTCAATAAAAACTGGGGAAATTAAAAGCTAAGTCTATATACAAATGGTTTGATAAGAGCGCATTTGGCTATTAATTCTCATAGTGTCTTCCTTACTAAAAGGAATAGCCTTGTTCATGTTTTAGCTAGTTATATTTTAGCCATTTCCTGTCACTTAAATGGGAGCCTAAATATGCTGTGCTTTTTTGTTTTGTATGTGTTTTGACTCATTGGATGTTTCCTATATGTATTACAAATAAACATTTATGTGATTAAAAAGGCTACTGTGTTTTTTCAGACTGGTTAATAAAGGTGACCTCAAACTTGTGAGGCTTTTAGAAAACGTACCCAACTTTTGTTGCTTCAGGACTACTTTTAATACTTGAAACTGGGTGGCATAACAAAACACCTTTCAAAAATCAAGTAGTGCAAAATTACTTACTTTCTAGTCAATCCAGCAAGATAATTGTATTTATCTAATTTGATTGTAAACTTCAAAACTACCTTTAAGTAAACCATAGGATGTAGTGATACTCTTTTAATCTTTGTTGTTGGAAGCACTTTCAGTTACTTCATTATTTTTTGCAGGACAAACATTCCTAAGTTGTGAGGACTTCGAAGAAGGTGGGATAAACAACACAGCCAGACTTGTAGAAACTTGAAGTAAAACAAGTTTGCTCAAGGGCCATTTAAAAAAAAACAAAACCCTTTTGATTGCTGGTTGAAAGGAGAGCCAGCAGTGAAAATTGTACTATTTGCTTTTGAAAGTGGTGCAACATAACCCAACCCAAGAAAGGCTGCAGTCAGCCAGCAACATGAGCAAGTGTTAAAAGACCTGTCTAATAAATGCTAAAATCTGGTTTGGATGTGGGTTGAAAATTGGAGTTTTTTGGATGGGTCCTAAAAACTTGAGATGACATTTGGTTCAGGAAGACTGTGCTTTAAGAGTCTTTTCATAGTTCCACACACAGCCTCCTGGAAGCTGCAGTTCACTGCCTTTAGACTTCCATGCCAGCTGACTTGATGCGGCAGTGTGGCTGGCAGTCCAGCAACTAAGAGGGTAGTTAGCACAAAAGCAAAAGAGTTTCTAAAGCTCCTGCTTCTGCTGCAAAAATCATCTTCTCCCTTCGTCCCCTTTAAATATGTATATACAGAACATGTAACTTAGGTTTAGGGAGAAATTAAAACTTTAAAATTTTTATTTCTTTCTCCTGTAAAAAAACTAATTCTAAAAGTGACTTAATTTTACAGCACCCCTAAATTCTTGTTGAATTGATTCTGCTGACTATTTATAATCCAAATATTGGCCAAATAACTTGAGATCATGTGCTGCATTTGTTAGAGGTGAAACTAGAAAGAATAAAGGAAACTGCCACTCTTCAGAACAGCCACAATTCTTCTCAGAAATTAATAGTCCTTGCTAACTATAGCAGGAGAACCACACCACTACAGGTATTTAAAGTATTATATTCACAAAAGTTCTAGGCCATTTGAATAAAATGCACTGATTACACAATTTCTTGTATATTCTTATTGCAAGTGTCATACTTTCTTTTTTAGAGTTACTGCTACGTAGGGCCATATCTACACAAGGAGTGCTGTGCCAGTATAGATATGTCAGTATACAGTTTATACTGGCAAAAGCAGAGTTTTGCTGCCGTCTGTGGTGGGCACTTAGGCCAGCACAACTATGTTCTCAGATCACACTGGATCACCCCACATTGATGTAGCAAAAATGTATAGTGTAAACTTGACCTAATGCAGCTCATTGGTGCAGGATACTTCCAGAAAACTGAATGTGCCAATGCCTGCCATGGTTATTTTGAAATTTTACAGAATGACCTAAGTCATGAAGAATATGGTATGTTGTGGTTAAACAGACTTCTATGAGAATATTGTAATTAAAGCCCTAGTCCTGAACAGTAGTTGAGCACCATTCCAGGCCCATAGTTAGTAGATACTGAACAACTGAAGGGGAATACTTAGCTCAGGGGTTGGCAACCTACGGCACGCGTGCCAAAGATGGCACGCGAGCCGATTTTTAATGGCACGCTGCTGCCTGCCCAAGTCCCGAGGACACGCAGCCAGTGAGGGGCAGAGCCTGCGCCGCCCCACAGAGGAGCTGCCTCAGCGGCCTGCCTGTGGGCTCCTGCGTCCCCTCACTCGGCAAGGAGCCCACTCACCTGGGCTGCCTTGGTGTAGCTGGCCATGTTGGATTGGCAGCACGGGTTCACTGCCGGACCCAGTCCCGACTCCTGGCGGCAGTAAGCGCCGGCTGCTGAGCGTCCCCGGGAGGAGGCGCCCGGCTGCGGCCATGGATCAGTACTTGCTGGGAGGAGTGGAGAGCCCGGCGGCGCTGAGTGCACAGCAGGTGCGGGCCAGCGGGAATCGGTGGTGGCCAGAGAGCCCTGGGACGAGGAGCTTGCATACCGCGGGGTCACGCGCCGCTCAGAGTGGG